TGGCCGCTGACTTCCTGATGAGGAGCGTCGTGACGACCAACAGGTGAGTCCCTAACCTCTTGGTTGGAGCTCCAGATATTTACATCAATAGGAAGAGCAAAATCGAATGGATTTACTGTTAAAACCCGGAGAAGTACACTGCCCCACAAGTTTCTCCCTCCCCCTAGTTACGTGTCATGAGAAGAGGTTGCGCAGTTCGTTTTTGAATGGGTTGCAACCGTTTGGAAGGGAACCCGAGAGCACCGAATTTGGTACCTAGACGGAGCCAGATTCGGGAGTGCTAGGTGGGGGAAGTAGAAGACCCTATTGAGCTTGACTCTAGTTCGACTCTGTGAAATGACTTGAGGTAGAGGGGACGGCTGTTCGTTTTGAGTGACGGTCTGCCACCCTCAAAGGGGAAAACGAGGGGGTAGGAAAAAAAAAAAGGGAAGGAAGGGAAAAAAAAAGCGGAAAAGAATGAGTAATGGCCACGTATGTGGCCGTGGTAGTGGTTAGGTATGTGTGTAGGTGTGCGTGTGACTGCGCCTGTTCGTTTTTGAACAGGTTGCAGTTTGGCTGGGTACAACCATTTCCTGAAGCATGGGGCTAGGGAAAATGGCCAGATGCTTCTGGAATTGGCAGACCCTGGTTCCCCTAGGGGAACATCAACGTTGTGACCCTTGATCGTGGCCTCGGATAAAGGGCCCAGAGCAGTTTCAAAATTTTGACTATCGACGAAGTTGCTGCCCACAGTCTTCTACTGGCTATAAAAGCCAGCAGCACCCACACTTGTCTCACAGTTGTTGAGCCTGTGATGCTGCTCACTTGCACTTCACATTGTGAGGGGCGGTGTTGCCAGCGGAGGTACTGTTGGAGGAGAGATTGGAGGTGTGCAAAGAGTTGGAGGAGGAGAAGGGAGGTATCCATAGCTAAGGGATGGAGGCTAACTGCCCCACCCCTGTGCTGGTGCTGTGGCCAACGGGCTGCGTCAAGGTCCGGACGGTGTGGCAAGCGGCACCTATTTTAGTGGGATTGTACTGCCGGACTGCTGCCGCGGCGCCAAGACCTTCCTAAGGGAAGATGTTGCCGGATTTGTCGCGTGGCACCAATGTTTTTATTAATATGAGTGTGGGGAGGTGCTGCTCGATCTGTGGTGCAGCAACAGCGGTGTATCCAGTGGGGTCATACTGTCGAAATTGGCGGTGGTGGCAACATTTTTTTTATTGTGAGGAAAATATTGGCGATATTTTGCGTTGCAACGGAGCTGTTTTTTGTGTATGATCTGGCGGTGGTGTTGCACGGCAGCCATGGTACCGGTTGATGACACGACATTGGTGGTATAGGCGTTGAGGCGATGACACTTGCGGCATTTGGCGTCGGAGGGCCACTTTTATTATTTTTGGGACCACACAGCGGTGTGTGAACCAATGGCATGAAGAGAGTGCAGAGTGAGTGCTCGCGGCAGTGGCTATTGGAATTTGCGCCGGAAGGACATCTTTATTTTTTGGGGGGGCTCGCGGCATATGCGATTTTGAGCCAGGGCCACCTTTATTTTTTTTGTAGCGCGAGGTGCAAGCGGTTTTGAGTTATGGATCATCTCGTATTACGGGCGAATAATGTGAGACCACTTGGGACCCAATTTGGGACCAAGTGAATTGGAATTGAGACCGGGACAGGTGTTTGGTGGACTCTTGGTGATCAGGCGTGGTGATCGGAGGAGGTTGGACTTGTGGTTGGGGTGAAACTATCCTCAGTGGACGAGGTGCCGTTGGGATTATATTGGGGCCACATGAGACTTGTAAGTTGAAACACCCTCCTCGAGGGCTATCTCACTTTAGTCCTTCTAAATGGAGACTTGTATCTGTGGGGCATTTGAGAAGGATGCGGATCATCTTTGTAGGCGGCCACAACTTGTAAGTTATGCGACCGATCTCTTTGGGAGTATTATCTCGACTTTTTTGAGTGAGTCGGATCAAACTTCACTCAAGGTCAGTTGAATGACTCAGATTTCCCTTCACACCTGTGTGAACCCACTCTTTGCTTGACCCTATTCGTTTTGAGTGTTCAAAATAAAAGGTAGAGGAAAGTTGTGTGAGTTATGCATGTGAATGGAAAGGTCCACTTGAGTATAGGATTGTATTGTTTTTTTTTTTAACTTGTTTTCTTTGCGTTCTGTGCTGGTAGGTAGAATAATGCTTGCAAAGGAGGTTGATTGTGTTTACATGAGATGAAGAAAATTATTATTTTCTTTCAGCCTTTCACCTGCCTGCATGTCAAAGTACTTGAATTTTGAAGTGAATGATTTTAATGGGTACAGTAAAAAGAAAGAAATTTATGAATATAATGAAGATGAAGATAGTCAGACTTAGTCTTTTCCTAGGATTGACTCGTTTTATTCCAACGACCTTATCTACCTATACTTGTCAAAATGACTCTCATTTTCTCTCTCTTTCGATTTATTTCGTCAAAATTACCCTGAACTTAAGAGAAATAAGGACTAACAGTTCAATCTTCGATGCCTTTTCGGTGATGACAACAATAGTCGGTGAAGGCACTTGCAAAATTTGTGCACTCGGTTCTGCACACCAGCAATGCTGAAATGGCACTGCACTCACATCATCCGCCGCAGTCAGTGAACGATGATGTCTCCACTGCCGACAATGAAATAGCAACATCCGAGCGCTCACCCAAGATGGTTGGACGTCGTGGACTCGTAGCCCTGCATGTCCACCAGCGGATTCTGCGTGACAGGGAAACGTGGGGTGAAACGAGCAACACTACAACATATTGCAGATGGGGCAGGAGGAAGCAGTTTCCAGCACCAAGAGGATCGCGATGCACTCAGCGACAGTACCTCGCCTCTGGAGATGCGCACACCCAGGGAACAAGACAATGGAGAGTGCACAAAACAAATGAAAGGGTGGAACAAAAATGCCCTACCTCAGAACTCGAAGCTCGCATTCATAGCGTACGAGCTCACGACCTGATCATGACCACCAAGAGAATGAGATGATCCGCCAGTGGGTGAACGGTGGTAGCCGCTGAACATCCTGGCACAAATGATGCATACAGCATGCACAACAAAAAGAGATCCATGGATGGGGTTTGTTCGTTTCGAAACGAATGGCCACGACTCCGCCAAAACGGAGGCACCTTACCAAGCAGTCCATAGGACCACACTGCTGTGTGACAATTTCTGAAAGCCCCCAGCCATTTCTGGCCGGTCTCGGGGGTTGGACCAACAGACGGTAACGGTGTCCGCCTACCTTCACACAACCGTTGGAGACGGAAGGGATGCTCGGTTGGAGACAAAAGGGATGCCCCGACCATGATCTTCCCGTGTGGCCGACGTGAGAGGCTGGCAGGGGCGTTTCTGACAGTAGTCACAACACCCTGGGCTGCGAAGGATATAGAAACGACCCATGAGTACTTTCCAACCCGCCTGCTCCGGCCCTGTGGAGTCTCTTAGTCTCGAAAATTTCTTCCGGCCGACGTGAGAGGCCCACAGGGGTTTTTCTGACAGCACCCTGGGCCGCAACGGATGTAGAAAGGGTCCATGAATACTTTCCAACCTCGCCTGCTCCGGCCCTGTGGAGTCTCTTAGAGCCTCGTTCAACACCACTTGAAAATACTTAAGTTTCAAGTGCACACTAAATGAGAAATTGTGATTAATTTACACTTTACTAAGAATGTAGAGCCATTTATCCCATCAGAAATGGTAAAAGGAGCTTCTGCATATTCCATTCCTCGAAATGCAGTAAAAACTAAAGCTAGAAGAATAGTGGCTAATATGCCATAAAGGGCTTGTTGTTTTAAAACCAGCTAATATAACATGATGAGCCCAAGTTACAGCAGCTCCAGATGAAAGTAGAATAAGAGTATTTAGAAAGGGGTTCCATGTACTCTCGAGGAAACCCTTGAACAGGCTGCACTTGAAACCCAACTCCACAGCTTGACCAAATCCTGGACCAGGATCGCCTGCTAGAAAAAAAATGAAAAACAGAAAAAAGGCCCCACTTGGAGTGCTGGCGGTATCCGCTGACACTTGAATTCAAGGTACCTCCAGGAGGTGACTTGAATTCAAGGGCGATTTTGGCTATGTTGTCCTTGAGTTTCAAGGGTTCACCCTTGGGATGCAAAAAAGTGAAAACAAAGCGGACCCCTCTAAAGGGGGGGTTTGGAAGGATGATTTTTCGCTTCGCTCTGGGATGCAAAAAAGTGAAAAAATACCTTTCTCGGCCTTTTGGCTAGGATCAAGGTAGTATCTGTTCTGATCAGTTTAATATCTGATCCGTGGTCCATCGGACCACACAAAAAAAGAAAAAAGAAAAAAAAAGTGAAAACAAAGTGAACCCCTCCAAGGGGGGGTTGGAAGGATTAATTTTCGCTTCGCTCTTGAACTCAAGGGGTGTGCAACGAGGCCATTAGTCTCGAAAATTCCTTTCGGACCGTTTCCAGGCCTTTGCCACAAAACTGTTGGGTCCACCCCTCACTTACGATTTCAGGCACCCGCAGGTCCCTATTATCTGATTTATGCACCTTAGGCCCAAAGTGAGCCGACGCTCAAATAATCGCGAAGCGCATATTGCACGTCACGGTCGAAATGAGACTACATTCACAAATACAGCAGAACAGAAGTCTAGCCCACTCCTAGTAATGGCGGCCAGGGGTATACTTCAAACTCGGTCCGCTGAGGGTATTCCTCAAATTCAGTCGTCCGCATTGAGTTTTCATTATTTCTTGCTTTTTCTCCTCGTTGAATTGTCCAGGTGCGGAGTTTTTCATCCGCTAATTACAAATTTCTAGACATTTATCTCTCTCTGAGATGTACGTGAGAAACATCGCTTGAGGTCCTGTTATTTATCGTGAGGATTGGAGAAAAGAATCGTCACAAAATAGTTATGGGATAGAAGAGGAAAATGTACGCGTGCAGTAGCCAACGTTTTCGTGCGCCTGGCAGTTGGGGCCTCATCGTGTAGCTGGTTCGGTATGAATCTGTCTCCCAAAGCGTCCAGATCCGGCCGGGAAAGCTGTATCGAAAGTGTGCCAGGTCTATCTTGGCGAAGAGAAGATCGGTCAGGAGGGGTTGAATCGACGGCAGAAACTGTCCAACCGGCTTAGGGAAGGGAGGGAGAGGGAGTGAAGGGAGGAGGGAGGGGAACCGGGGTGGGAGGAGGAGGAGGAGGAACATCGGGCCTGCCGCGCTAGCCACGTCAGTTTTCGGTCTCTCTCGGCCCGGCTTGGGGAAGGCGACACGAGAGAGAGAGAGAGAGAGAGAGAGAGAGAGAGAGAGAGAGAGAGCCTCAACTGGTCCTAAGCACACACAGACACAATCACTCACACAAACACACCCACTGTGTGTGTGTGTGTGTGTGTGAGAGAGAGAGAGAGAGAGAGAGAGAGAGAGAGAGAATGGGGGCTGAGGAGCCGGCGATCAAGTTGCGGGTAAGTACTTTTTTTTTTTTTTTTTTAAGTTGTGTGTAAGTACTTGGCGAAACACGTGACCGATTTGCTTTTTTGAGGGAAAAGAAAAGAAAAAAGAAACACGTGGCTGGCCGTCGTTTAATGTTGGAAAGTTGTTGTCGTCAACGGAATACAATGGCGGAAGGAAGGGTGGAAATATTGGGAAAGGAACTCAAAACTCATTTTTTACGTAGCATTTTTTTTTTTTTTTTTTAATACTGTGATTATAACATTGGCTGATGTGAAAAAAGAACCAGGAGAGCGATGACGATGGCGATGGCGATGGCCATGGCGAAATCCAAAAGGGGGAGGAAATAGGCTATCCAGTCACAATTGCCGCCAGATTCAATAGAAAGACTTCTCAGTGGGATCACACCCTTACCGTCTTCTTACACACGTCTAAAGTCTGTCACCCTTCCTCCTTCCTCCTACCACCCTCCACCCTCGATTAAAAAAAAACAAAAAAGCCAAAAAAAAAGCCCAAAAGAAGCAAGATAAAAGGCCAAAAGAAGCAAAAAAAAAGCCCAAAAGAAGCAAAAAAAAGCCAAAAAAAAGCCATAAAAAACTAGGCTACCAGCCGGGCCGCCCGGGTCACCCTATTTTCCCGGGCGGCCCGGCCATGCAAGAACCAGGGAAGGTCCTAGCCAAAAAAAAAAAAAAAAAAAGAAAATTCCCCCAAAAAACTATGCTATGCAGAAAAATAAACTGAACAACTTTTGCCTCAGGGTCACATCGAAATTCTTTACAAATTTAAATTAAAACATTATTTTTGTTTTTTATTATTTTTCTATATTTTTTTGGCTCGGCGGGGCAAGTGGACCCGGGCCTTTCTGGTAGCCTAGATTAAAAAGCCATAAAAAGCCTAAAAAAGTCGGGAAAAAAAACAAAAAAATCTATGTGGTGGTGGTGTTATCCTCCTACTTCCCGGAAAAAAAACAAAACAAAAAAAAAACACCATCCTCCTCCCCTCCCCCAATAGGAAAAAGGAGCTGCAACCAGTGGAAAGGAGCAAAGATGCATTTTTTCTTTTCTACGCAGGAAATGTATCCGTCATGGCAGCTGGATTGGCCACGGGACGCGTCACGCAGCGACCGAGCGCTATAAAAAAGAAAAAGGAGAACGAGAAAAATAAAAAAGGAAACATAATGACGACTCTAAAATTGGAGACGCACAGAGAGAGAGAGAGAAAAAAAAGAGGCGCAGGCAGCGCAGTGCATAAAAAAACAAAATTGTCATGTGCGCCTAGGCTACCAGAGTGGCCCGGGGCCACTTGCCCGGCCGGGCCAAAAAAAAAAAAAAAAGGCTTCATTTTTTATTTTAAATTTGGTAAAAACTTTCTATGTGACTCTGAGGCAAAAGTTGCTCAGTTCATTTTTCTGCACAACATAGTTTTTTGGGATTTTTTCCCCCCCTTGCATGGCCGGGCCGTCCGGGAAAATAGGGTGACCCGGGCGGCCCGGCTGGTCGTCTAGATGTGCGCAGTTTTTTTTTTTTTTAATTTTAATTTATGTAATATAATGTGATGCAAGACACATTGGAGGTGGAATAATTTCAGTTAATTTTAACTTATTTATATATTTTTTTAAATTTCAGGTTTCAAAACAGGCAGAAAATGAGGTAAAACCGACGCAGCAAATGAGGAAGAAATAAATTTAAAAAAAGGAAAAAAAAACGCTGAGAGGAAAGCGATAGAAGCTTGCACCTGAGTTTTTAAAATTTTATTTTGTGGATCCAAAGAAAGAAGAACAGTTGAAGGTTTCTTAAAAAAAAAAAAAAGGTTTTGATATAAAAGAAAGCACGGGTTTTTGCAAAAAAAAAACAAAAACAGAAAGGGTTCTTGAAGGAGGAAAAGAGCGGTAAGAAAGGAACAGCATCACACAGGCACACTTATCACACGCAGTACACTGATTGTCGCTGTCGAGATTTTTTTTTATTATTATTATTTTATTTTATTTTTTTCCGAGAGAGAGAGATTATCAAAAGACACTGGATTTAAAACGCGATCCGCAAACATGCCACATTTTCAGATGATTCTCTCTATCTTTTTTTATTATTTTTTATTTTTTTATTTTAATAAACCCCTTTTCCCTAATGTTCTGAAAATGGAACGAAAAAGCCGGGAGAAAAGTTAAAGTGGAAACCAAAAAAAAAAAGAAGAAAACCTTCCTCCCCTCCCCTCCCCTCCCCGCCCCGCCCCGCCGAGTCCCGCCGAGTCCCGCGGTGCCGTGTCCCCCGTTCCGTGCCAGTGATCACCTCTGTTCTTGCTTCTCTTTCTCTCTCAGGAACGCGCTCCTGTAGGTCTATCAAGAGAGAGAGAGAGAGAGAGAGAGAGAGAGAGAGAGAGAGAGAGAGAGAGCAAATTGGCTACAGTGTGGGGGGGTGGAAGGGTGGGGAGAGAGAGAGAGAGAGAGAGAGAGAGAGAGAGAGAGAGAGAGAGAGAGAGAGAGAGAGAGAGAGAGAGAGAGAGAGAGAGAGAGAG